TAATCATATACAGGCAGATATGTGGCGGCAATTCAGCCCTCATTTTTTGATTTCGTGAAAAAGTCACCCAATTTTTTTTTTCAAATATCACCCATTTTTTTTCGTTTCTGGATTTTTCATGATTTTCGGGAGTAAGTGGTATTATGAAAGCGGTTAGGGAGTTTATACTTTCCAGTAACACAAATTGGAAACCTACTGAGAAATTCTCGGATAATTTTTCGAAAAATTTGAAAATGAAATATTACGGATAAAAATAATAATTATATGACGGATATGTCGAAAGCCACTAACCTTCGCGTAATTCAAAAGTGAGGAAAATTCTTTTGAGTGTTATGAAGGAGGAAAATTTTTTTGAGTGTTATGAAGCAATTTTCCTTCAAGTGTAACAAAACTTATATCACGACGTGATAGATGTCGCATTGTTCCATTGTTTTGTTGGTTCTTTAAATCTTGCACTCTCGAAACCGGGACTGTCAGGCTAAAGTTTTTTTGTAGCGGTCATGTTTATTTTCCATTCTCAGGATGAAAACGCTCCAAACGATGAGAATCTGCAGTCAACACCTGCAGTTTCTGAAGCAAATGCACCTCCAGCATCAGCGGCTCCAGCAGTTCCTCTTGTAGCCGTTCCACCCGTAACCTCATCCCCGTACGCAATGCCGCCACAGCCTACTTCACAAGCCATGATGCCTCCACCAGTTATGCAGATGCAGCCGTCCGTAGCCGCTATGCCGCCGACATCACAGCCACAAATGGGTATGGCAATGGGACCACCGCAACCTTATGGATATCCACCACAAGGACTGCCACCAGGTCCACAAGGTCTGGCGCCCGGTCAAGTGATGCCGGGAGCTTATCCGCCGCATGGCTACGAGCAACAAATGATGTATCAGCAGCAACAAGCACCACCACAGCAACAACCATACATGCGCTAGTCATTTTGACTGTAGTAATTGTTGTAAATTCAAAGGCAGTGTGCCAGCAGAATCTTTTCGCAGTTTTTGCCTTCGGGGACCGTTATCGCTATGAGGAACCCATATCTGGGCTTTTCAGCGCATGAAAATG